GCAAATTTAAACTTCGACTGGAAATCCAACCTGGGTATCTATGCAGACAAGGACAAGGCCAATGTTAACTTCAAGATTAATGCCGACGGCAACGAATACATGGCCAAGTTTGAGGGCACCCGCACTTCCCTTCTCGTTGAATCGAACTTCGCAAACACATTCTTGTTGATGCCCACGTAAATATTGTATTTCTTAGTGTCATGGTGATTCTGAAAAAATCTGTTTCATATCCAGAATAATGTAAGTATTGATCATTCATTCAAATTCTTTCCCATCTAACACTAGGTAACCAGTACACAGGATATGAGGAAACTACATGTTGCTGCTGAGTGGGACAAGGATGTGGATCCCACAAAAGCTTTCGTCATTGATGGACAGTTTGCTAATGGCGAAATTGGAGTGGAATTCAAGTAAGAATTAATGTGTAATATTTAGCTTATGTCATACAATTGTCAGTTAGGGTACGAATCTTTCAAGACAGATGAGTGCAATGATTTACTCCTTTGGTAGAAGCCCTGAATCCTTTTAACAAGATGTTTTCTACAGCCGTAAGAAATATGGTTTATAATTACAGATATGGTGACAGGGAAGTGTCCATCCTTGGCAAGCTAATTGACAGTGGTGTGGAGGTGGAAACCAAATGGGCTTCTGACAAGAGAATTTTCAATGTTCACTACACACTTGGCAATACCAATTCGCTGGCAGCTACAGTGCAGACGCCATTCCAAGGTTGGGAAAAACAGGATGCCACCTTTACCTTCTCCATCAAGGATTATGAAGTTGAGAGCCGATTTTCTGCTACATGGAAGAACACACAGCAAATGGCACTTATTGTCACTGGTAAGGTAGAACCTGGACTCTTTACCAATGCTCTTTCCACCAAAGTTGCATTCACAAGCACCTTTGATAACTATGAGCGTATCGAATTCTCTCTGGATCATAACATGGTTGATTCTACCATCAAGACTCATTTGGAGGGCGCCTGGAACCAAGAGAAAATGGAAGGCAACTTCCAACTCACTCCTAACACAATGGTGTAGATGCTCGAGCTACCTTCACTTCCCCTGTCACAGAGAACATCCTTGTGACATTGCATCATGAGTTACTCAACAAGCAGTTGTCTACCACATTTGAAGTGAAATATGGACAAGAGATCTCTACTGCTACTGCCACAGGTCACGTGGATCTTAGTAATGTACATGACATCACTCTGGTGTTCAAGGTTGACACCCCTGTTTCTTTGATCCCTGAGATAAATGCCAATCTTAAATACTCCCTGAGTGGAGAAAGTCTCAACTTGATCACTGAAGGTAAGATTGGGGAGAAGAAAATCATGCTTAATGTAAGCGGCCAAGGACTGTCAGTGGCGACACTACGGACATTTCTGGAGACGTTCGCTTCATCACTCCTTTCACTTACCCTCTGACAGCATCTCTCAAGCACACCCATGACATGGAGCACTTTACATCACAGTTCGAGATGACCAGGATCTGGTCTACATACGGTAGCGTCAAGGTGCATGCTCAAGGACACATGCTCTCCAAGAATGATGTAGAATTCAAGGTTGACGTTTCTAGCCCAGTAAATAAGGGATCAATCGCCTTCAAGCACACTGTCACTAACACCAAGATGGATTCCTCAGTTGATGTCATTTTCAACTCTGAACGTATTCATATGTCTGTGGGTGGACTTCTGGATGTGTCTAGGAACTTGGCAAACATTGAAGCTGAAGTTACTTCCACTTTCAGTGGCCTAGATGATGTAAAAGTCAGCATCGATAGCAAGAAGGATGACAACACAAGAACTTCCAACATAGTTCTCATGAAGGGAACAAAATCTGTTGTTATTGACCATACCATTACCTTCAATGATTGGTTCAACTGGGAAAACTCCTTTATTGTGAATGGAGTCTACAAATTAAGCAACAAGCAGATGCATGCTGGCTCTCTGTACAAAACACCAACTTGAGTACATGTGGGATCGCCAACTTGTGCAATTCGAAGGAACTTTCGACAAGAAGATCTCTGGAAATACCCGTCAGATTGATGCCCAGGTCTCCCTTTCCACTCCTTGGACTGAGGACATGAAACTTGATTTGCACCACCAAGATGATGGTGTTGAGTACAAACCAACACTTATCATTGAGTACAGGCCTGGAATGAAGATTGAAGTTGCCTCTGTTCTGAAATGCGATTCATCATTCTTCTACACTGCATCCACTCTTACAACACCATTCTGGCAGCCAATGGGATACAAACTCAACATTGACTTCCAGCCAAGGAAGACTGCTACTCTTGTTTTAACCCGTGGAGCCAACAGAACTACTATTGACATCACAGGAAAAATTGAACAAGGAAAGGTAGATGGTGAGCTGCATATCGATTCTACATATCTTACCAAACCGGTTTCTCTGGAGGTGTTCTATGACATCATTTCAGCCGAAAAGAAAGTGAACTTGGCGCTTGATTTTGACAAGAGGTATGAGATAACAGGAGTCATTGCTGGTCACCTTAAACAAGCTAAATGGTCTCTTATGATGGACCTTCCTCTTGAAGCTGTACAAAAAGTTGGTTTTAGTGGCGAGTACAATGTTGAAGCCATGCCCTTCACTGCCAATACAGTACTAATTTTCAACACCCAGAAATACCAGGTAAATGGCAAGATCAACGTGGATGAATTCCAAATCAATATGGATTTGAATGGAAAAACTGGAAGTTTGGTCAGCAGTTGGAACTACCAGGAGAACTACGCTGGTGTAGAAATCGACTTCCAGTCACCACTTACGACACTGGACAACATGTCTATCTCAGCAATGTATGACTTCCGTAGTGAAAAGAAAGTGACCCTCAAGATGACACGTAACTCAAAGGAAATCAACCTTTCTGGACGACTTGAAGGACAAACCATTGTTTTTGAAGGCACAACTCCATTCAGTGGATGGGAAACCCTTAAGGCCTCATTCTTCATCTCCAGCTCTGCTGTTAAAGCCTTTGTGTCCAGGAATGACCGCAAGATTGAGGTTACAGGAACACTGCACATCAGAAAAGTCAAGGGAAAGATCAATCTCACCATCAATACTCCATATGCTGGCTATGAAACCATTGCTGTTGACACAAGCTACAGCTTACAGGGCCAGGTGAAAACAGTGGAGTTTGAAGCCAAATTTGGCTTCCAAGAACTCTCTTTGAAGGGAGACATCAAGACAAACAACATCCTAGCACCTGAGATGACCCTCAATATCATTACTCCATTTGAAACTGTAAGAACTCTTGGTGGAGAAGCTCACTGGGACCTGAGAAACCTTGTCAAGACTGCCGAAGTGAAGGCTTTCCGCAATGACCGTCACTACCACTGGCAGTTAGAGGCAGCTGCTGATAGTCCCCTAAAGGGTTATGCCAAATCCAAGATCACAACTCCCATTGCTGGATGGCAACAGTCAGCTTTGGAAGGAAACTTTGATTTCACCTCCATGCTATATATATATATATATATAATATATATAGTATATTATATATATATATATATATATATATATATATATATATATGTATATATATATATATAT